CAGACCGTGCGCGTCTCTTAGCCGTTGGCGAGTGGGAGTCTGGACTATGGCTGCAGGTACTGCCTTCCGCGAATATCGGTACGCTCCTAGACCGCTCAACTTTTCGCATAGCCACGTCCTTGCGCCTTGGCTCGCCCTGTGTCGTCCCCCATCTTTGCCGGTGCGGAGCGTTTGTCACCAACCTCGGCCATCACGGTCTCTCCTGCACAAGGAGTGCCGGCCGTATAACCCGCCACCACTGCATCAACGATGTCATCCGCAGGGCCCTCGCCTCCGCCAACGTGCCTGCCGTTTTAGAACCAAGCGGCTTGGCGCGCGACGACGGTAAGAGGCCCGACGGTATGACACTCGTTCCTTGGAAGCTGGGACGGGCACTTGTGTGGGACGCAACCTGCGTCGACACTCTGGCCCCGTCTCATATTCCCGGAACCTCGATGCAGGCTGGCGCGGCTGCTTCGACCGCAGAGGCCCTTAAGCGCCGCAAGTATGATTGCCTCAGTGGAGACTTCACATTTGCGGCGTTTGGAGTCGAGACTCAGGGACCCTGGGGCTCCGGTGCCCACCATCTTTTTAAAGAAATCGCCAAAAGATTGGTGGAGACCGCAGAGCTGGCGGCTATTTCGCCCAGCGCATAAGCCTCGCCATTCAGTGGGGAAATGCCGCCAGCGTCCTGGGCACCTTTGCCGACGGAGACGACCTAGGGCAGCTATTTTTTTAATATTTGTATATTTTTAGTGTAGTTCTAGTTTAATATTTGCCATCTTACTTATTTATACTATCCCTTAATAAATTGAATGAAAATTCTAGAGTTAGGATTATAACATTTATTATAAAATGTCTGACTCGGCTGCTTCGTCCGAGATGTAAATACACTCACAGGCACCTGTGTACCTGTTGAGATGAATTAGAATTATAAGATTTTTTATTTATCTTATGACTCGGAAACTGTGTCCGAGATGCAGATTGACTCAGAAGCTGTGCTTGCTGAGATATAGGAAATAGAATAAGGCTTATTACTAAACTTATAATTAGAAGCCTGTGCCTACACTTCCCGGAAAACGGCGGCACGGTTTCGTGATCCGAAAGTTTAAATTACTACCGATACCATATCAAATGGTGTGTGACAATGTCGGCGTATTGTCACACACCATTTGATATGGTATCGGCGTTGACGGACCTGGGAACGGTGGTGTCGGCGCATCTGTAACATGATGCACGTTCGGCGACTTATTGTAATTATTATTGCCGCGGTATCTTTCACTATTATATTTACGCTTGCGACATTGACTTATATCGTCGCCTTTATTTTTGCAATACCTGCAGAAAGCTTGTGAATAGTTACGATACGGCGATGCCACGTATTGCGGCTGATTTTGTGGGAAAGATCGCGATGGAATAGCGCGTCTGGGCCTTGAAAAACATTCTGTATCCGAACGCCCATGTCTTCCGCAGATGTTGCATTTCGGTTTGTTAACCGTCTTAGATAAGATAGTTCTGAATTTTCTCTCCCTCAAGAGCAATATTAATGGCACTGTTTAGATTTTTAGGGCTTCTACATCTTACGTTATTACTAAGCCGCGTATGTAACCCTAGCGGAAAAGTAAAAAGCGCTAAATCTTCGGTCATTGCGACAGTGGCGGACTAACAGGGGGGCGGAAGGGGCGGCCCGCCTCTGATCTTGGGGGGCCCCCAAATGCCTCCACGTTACCCTGATCAAATCCTAAACAAGACTTTAAAAATGTGCTTAGTACCTACATGATTTCATCAAGATCAAAACACTACAGTTATCTAGACTTTTTACGCGGTACTAACATTTTTTGCTGAACGCGTCCAATACCCTGGGGGAATTCCCGTCTTTGTAGCGGGTAGTTCCTCAGAAATCCCTGAATGAATGAAGTGCAAATAATTAACTCTTGTACTCATACATTTACATTCACTACATTCTATTTAAGTCTAACAATATTTGCGGTCTCCAAAAATGACTTTAGATGCAGGAATCACCAAACCAAACGCCTTGAATAAGTATTTAGGTGGTTCATCAACATCAAGAAACCAGGAAAAGTGAAGGTAAAAAGAAGATATCGGGTGAATCAGCTCATGATGCTGGATTATCAATTCAAGAAGAAATACGTCGGTCAATGTATGAATGCATAGACCGCTTTATACAAGAATTTTCGAATTTGGCTATTAAAAAATCAAAAATATTTTCCAAATTATTGAAACAAAGTTTATGCTAGAGGCTTCAGATGACGCTCTGGCTGTAGCAGTTGAAAATCTGATACAAAATTATGGTGAATTTGACAAGACTGGTTTTAACGAAATGAACATATGAATCTACATTTTTCTTATAGCTGGGGGCCTCATTCAGCTTTGCCGCCCCTGACGGGCTTAGTCCGCCACTGCATTGCGACACGACCACAAAGAACCTTTTTTAGAGAGTCGGAATTATAAATTCCGGCTTGTAAATCTGTGAGACATGCTTCTACGCGAAGTACGTACTGAGAAACTGTTTCTTGTGATTGCTGTTTACACGCCTGTAGATCTAGCAATAAATGGTTATAATGCTTTCTTTCCCTAAAGTTTTGTTTGAGGAAAGATTTAATTTGATTAAAATCTTCAAAAATTTTGTTTGAACACGCGATTTGTACTTTTCCCTCTAAACGAGATAAAATATATTTTGTCAATAATATATTTTGGCTATGCGATGCTAGATCAATTGCGTTTTGACAGTTCGTAAGAAAAGCGGTGAGTGTTTCGCGGTCCCCTTTGTAGGGGCATATAAAATTACATAAGACATTAATAGGGAATTTTTCATTCATGCCAAATTCTACACACCCGCTGTTCTTTTTAGATTCTTCGGCCATTATCACTTATAGTACTTAAAACACGAGTGAGAAAAAATAATAATACCTATTTATGCTAAATTAAGATAAGGATGCTGTAGCGGTAAGTATATATCATAAGATAATGAAAATCGTAATATATAATGCGATTCAACTAAGAATAGGACCGACTGAGCGCCATATTGTGATGTCATAGCTGTCAATTCAAACCAAATAGGTAGAGTGAGCAAAAAAAAGTTTTTATTTAATAAAACTTATTTACTAAGATTAAGTGAGAAAAAGCATCAGATTTTTTTAATAACATTTAGATTGAGAGAAAAAACCACCGATTTTTAATAATATTTATTTATTTATTAAGACTGTGAGAAAAAACATTAATCAGAATCTAGCTCTTCTATTCCGCTCATCTCTGCATTACCGCCGGAGTAGTGATGAATAATCATACACTATTACTAGGTTACATACGAACATGCATCCTTTATGTAAACGAAAGATTGAAATCGAGTTTCTGAATGCAACTAAGAGTGACATTTGGTTGACGATTTAGGTTATGAACCATTCATGGCCAAAGCTCAATATGAAAAAAAAATATTCAACCGATATTAATTATCAATATTTGTTATTGTTTGTTTACAAATGTTTGGTTTTTATTCTTGAATTAGCGGAGTGCTAAAAGAGGGTTCCAAGTTTTTTTTGCAAACCGTAGATAGAGGTCATTGGCTTTCCTATTCTTGCCTTGCCTTTGCTGCTCGCATCATTGGGGATGAAGAGGTAACTAAGAAACTCGAGTCTCTACTATTACGCCGCGATGTGGCATCATTAAGCGCAGAATGCGCTACCGACCAACTATACCACGGCGAGTGTTCTGAGGAGCTATTCTCCCTTATCCCTCCATTACCTTTTCTTCAGAGGACCACGCGCGCTGGCCTACGTTGCCACCGACTTACTGTGGCCACTGTTCCTACACGAACAAAGAAATTTGGTGACTCATTTCTTAGTCGTAGGTACTATTCGTAAGTGGATTTTTTTACCCGCGCACGTGTTCCCTCCTTCTTATAATATGGGGTCCTTTAAGAGAGGCGTGAAGAAGCATTTTCGCAAGTCGGCAAGGTGAGGATGATTGTTGTAGCAGACAAACTGCTGTACTAGCTATCTCCGCGTTTGGCCTTTATCACCACTTAACATCAGTTGGGGTAGAGTCATTTGCCTACCTCGCAAAAAAAAGGCAGCAGCGGAGGGTGAAGGTTCGAGTCCCGTATGCTGCCTGGTCTGCGTGGATTTATTTCTGTAAATATTTTCTTAAAATAAAAATTGCTTAAAAAATCGGTTTACGCGCTACTTATTTGCCAAATCATGTAATGATGTTTTTTTCTGAAAAGGAATCATTTTGGCGTAAAGTCCGTTATCTAGGAAATTAAAGCCCAAAACTGCGATATAATATGATCCATTGAGTTTTTATCTAATCAATATATGCCTCACACCAATATGCCTCAAAATGTATGGTCAATAAGAGTGACGCGGATCTCGCCGTCCCGTTCGCGCCGCCGTGGGCTTAGTTTTTGTTTGATGCAAGTATAGAAATTAAATGAAAGAGTTTATTAAGACCGAAAGGCATAAAGTAACATCTGCGTACAATAATCTTCTTTTTCGAGCGTTTAAACAACGAGTTTAAATAAAGCTTGATTTTGATTTTTTTATATTATAGCAGGCATACGAGCAAATGGCGACGGTGATCACTGATGGTCAGTGATCACCGTCGCCCGTAGGCATCAACACATGTGCGACACCAGAAGTGTCACAAAAGCGTTGCCGTTGCAATTTACACTTCGCTAAATGCAATTGCGTGTTTAGAAATCGGATAAGTAGTATGTACTTAACTGGCAAATTCCTTTCAAAAAGATGATAAGAACTTAACTCACCAAGACCGTAAGTTAACTCGCTTCTACTTACCGAAGTGTAAACTAGCCCTACAGGAAGTCGTCATCGTAAGATTTTTTAAATATAACTTAATTCCTTTATGGATTTATACAGAATTTTATAATAGCCATTACATTTTTTATAGACCAACTGTACATACATATAACATGTTTGCTTTATCTTTAAATAAGTATCTCACGTTGATTACCATTGTGACATAATAATATAAAAGGCGTTGAAATTTTTTCTCTACTTAATATTGTGTCGACATTTGCGGTGTCACCAACGGCGAAAAATTTCGAACCACAACATACATTGAAATGTTTCGCTTTAAAATTTGGCCAGCGGCCCTTTGCTTTTACTTAAATGTAATAATATTTAGTAAAGCTGATAATTTTACCTACGATAGTAATCCTACGGTGGCTCTGTTACAGAAGTATATTCAAATAAATACAACAACGTACAATGACTTAGGTGAGTCAAATATTAAATTATTTAATTCAAATCATGCGTTCATGCCGTCTTATTCTTATCAAATCACAGAATATTTGAAGAAAATCTACTTGCATAATATATTCTAACATCTCTGAAGTACAACATAACATTTTTGGGGTTCCGTTCGTAGTCAACAACAAACCCTTACAGATTTACTATGTCCATCTGTCTGCAGTTTAGAAAGCTGGTATTTGGCATAAATGAACATAATAAGTTACGTCGACAACTTGCCAATTAAAATATTAAAAATAAGAATGTTTTGGGTATAATATAATTTCCCTACATATCCAGTTCAAAAACAGTCAATGTGAAAAGAATTATGGTAGTAGTATACAATAAAATTAAAAGGGAAACTGTCAAAGGTAAGTAGGCGGCCTTACTTTACAAGTAAGTAAGTACAGGCGAAGTAATACATTCGAACATAATGCCTTGAAAATTAGGAACGTTGTTGGTTGTCTAATTAAGGTATGAATTCCGGGGAAATTTCCAAAATTCGATTTACGTACAAAAAATCGGTGTGGTTTCATGAAAACACGATGCAAGTGACATTTTTAATGTTTTAAATAGTCTCAATTTTTTTTGGATCGAACTGAAAATTTTCGCAAAATTATTCGATTTTTATACCCTAATTATTAAAATCGCGTTTTTAATTTTAATTGAATAATTGAAAATTGGGAATTATAAGTAAATCAATAGACAAGATACCTAACTATGAAAGACACGGACCACTTCTTCTGGCCCAGTAACATGAGCACCACAAATTACATTACGTATTTACATTTTTTATCGAGTGTAACTGTCAAACTCCATAGTATTTGACAATAGAGCGTCATAAAAACGAGCTATGTATCATATCGCGGTGCTCATGCTAGGGGAGCTGTATGGACGTCGGAATAGTTGTTGATTGTAAGAATCCTGCTGGAAAGTCCACGGTAAATTTTTAAAGAGTGTGTGGCTGAGAGGTTTCACTACATGATCCAAGACTGTATCTTGATACACTTTAGCTGAAGTTTTCACTCCTTTTTCACAAAAATGTAGTTTTGTGACTCCTTTATAAGACACGTCCACCAAACCATCACTGACATAGGATGATGACTACGTTGTACCTTTCCGACCACTTGAGCAGCTTCTTTAGAACTGTGAGCATACACATTATCATTTTACTTATTGTAGTTCTTCAATCGTAATTTTGTTTTCATCGGTAAACAGGATATTTCTATGCTCTTCACCGCATCGCATATCGCGACAGAAGGCGTTTTGATCGATCCACTCTCTTTAATTGTAAATATGTATTGATTTAGGGCATGTCCTGTATATTGACGATTAGCACCGAGTTTCAGCGACAGAGTCCTAGCGGGAGTCTTCATTTCTCGCGATAAGATTTTTTGCTTCCTAATGGGGTTTCGACGAATTTTTAGGTCTAACAGCACGCGGCCGCTCTGCAAGCTTTTGAAGTGTCTGGTATATGACCGATGGCTCCATACCCACTTTGTGCAAGGCGATCACTGCAATCCTATTTTCTTTAACACCCCATCCATATTGTAATTTGATAATGAACACGAAAAAATATGTGAAAATTTCACATTTCGCAAAATCGAAATAAGTTTATAAAATATTTATTATTTTGTGCGTGTTCCAAATCCAAAATAATTAAAAATTTTAAAAATATAAAAGTTTTTATGTGACAGTATTTATGGCCAGACTAGTTATAAAGACAGGTTATACGCCCACATTATTACATTTTAAAATGCACAAGTAGTCCCCGCCCCAACTTCCCTTGGCAACAGCCGCAAATAGAGTGCACCAAAGTATTCCTTTCACTCTCATTCATAAAGCAAATTACATCTCGCTCTTTAGCCTCTATCCCCCTTATTTATAGAATAAGCGTAGATTAGCTACTCCATGTTTTGTCTCTGTTCACTGAATGACAAATGGCTTTTGAGTGACATGAACAAAACACGGCGTAACTAGTCTAAGGCCCGTATTGCAGAATGACAACCAAGTGTTGATCTTTACTTGAGTACAGTTAGAAAGGGATGTCGCTGTGTGCTATATATAGCGACATCCCTTTCTAACTATGCTCATAGATCAATCACTGAGACTCTCTCTATAATACGGGCCTACTCGTTGTTTATAAATAAATGGAGTTAGTGTCAACGGTGTCAGAAACTGTCAAAATAGGTAATCACTAAATATTTTTAAAACTGTACTTATGAATGAAATGACACGTTTTTCTTGTCTCTAATAGTATTTTGTGTACTATCTAAAAGCACACATAGAGCTTTTTGTCTGGAAAAACTATAGATTAAAATAAAAATGGAAGATACGCTACGCCCATACTATCATCAAATAAAATATTTTACGATTAACTTCATAAGCAAATCTCTCACACGCACACTTGTGTAAATAAACATTCAATTGAGCGAGCGTTACAGAAATGTACTGGCGAGTCCATGTAATCATAATTATAATCAAAACATTTATTCGACACAGACATGGATACAGACTAATGTCTACACTTGTACTTACATATATATATATACAGGGCGTCCCACGGGTACCTCACACGGAGGGAGAGTATATTAAATAGAATGAAGATAGATTTTACCGAAAGAAGACATCATTTAATTTCTAATTATTACTAGAACTGCATTCACAGATTTTTTTAAAATCGCCTGCTTAAACGGGGAATCAAACTCGTGAAATTTCGAAAACAACAACACGACATGTTTTATGATAATCATCGAAAGAGTTAATCATAACAATTATTTTTTGCTATATAACTTAGCATTTTAAATGAAAGAAAAGTCATAAAATTACACATTATATTAAAAAAATATTCAACAAAAAGTAATAAAAAACGAAACGGTGCAAGAAAAAATAGTCATTTAATGTATCAAATGTTCAAAATGTGATCCGATTTGTTGTATGCAAATTCTCACTCTATTAATGTTTTCTCTGCCTGTCGATTTCATTATCTTTGCGTGGTGAATGTTTGTAATAATACTCTGAGTTAATTTTGTATCTCCTGCACACTGTCTTACCGGTTCATGTATACTACATCTTTTACATAACCCCACAAAAAAAACCAGTGGGGTTAGATCTGGGGATAGCGCTGGCCATCTTATTTGTCCATAAGAACCGATACAAGAAGGAAAGTGTTCATTAAGAAACACGGCAGTTCTCCTACTGTTATAAGCCCCATTTTGCTGGAAAATGAGATTTCATCGATTTGCATCAGGAAGATTATTAGTTTACATCTCACCTCTTAAAATATTAAGTATTTCTAGATATCTTTCCGTTATTAACTAAAAAAAAACAAAAATACAGAACAGTACCCTTAGCAGGACCCAATATCGAATTCGAATAGTTTTCGAGTGCGAAATGTCATTTTACGTACTTTGTGGCGCTGCTGTATAAGTTTCCATACAAAATTTGACATTGACATTTCACACTCGCAAACTATTCGAATTCGATAATGGTTCGTGCTAGGGGTAGAGACGCTTGAAAATGTATGTGTTCCATTTTCGAATTATTATTTTTATAAATTTCAGCCAATCGCATTGTGACTGAGTTCAAAAAGAAATGCGTACGTACTACAGTCTGTATATCACTTTATTATTTTTATCACGTAATAAGACATTCCTTTCATTTAAAATGCTATGTTATTTAGTAAAAAATAATCTTTATGAGAAGCCCTTTCGATGGTTATCACAAAATATGTCTTGTTTTTTTTTACGAAATTTCACGAGTTTGATTCCCAGTTGTAGCAGTCGATTTTTTTAAAACCTGTGAATGCAGTTCTAGTTATTATTAAAAATGAAATGATGTCTTCTTTACGTAAAATATCCTATATTTAATATAGGTACTTTCCCACCGTGTGAGGTAGCCGTGGGACGCCCTGTATATATAGATTGAAAACATTAAACATTCACTTAATACCTATGTACCTATATCCACAGCTGAGCCGAAAGGGGCCCAGTTCAGCATTGTGTCAGTTTTCACTGACGCTGTTTTTCAACTGGGTCCTTTTTACCTGTTTTTACCCGACTGCGCAATGCAAGAGCGCGAAGCGCGACGCGCTGACAGGGTAAAGTGTTTAACAGTCTATATATGTATGTATGTTCCTTTGTGGCACGCTAGAGACCAAACGCGTGGACCGATTTTGATGATTCATACACCAATCGATTCGTCTTAATGATGGTAGTGCTACTAAAGATATGATAGTAATCGAAATTCAATATGGAAACAACTAGGCGCCATATTGTGACAAAGTAAAAAAATAAGTTGACGAAATATGTCGAGTTGGATATCATTGTCTAGATAATTAAAAATCATAGTTAGGTTTAGGATCTATAACTATTTAAAGTTGCATATCAACCATTTGCGCATTTAATTTTAATCTTACGTTTGTATGGATCTTTGTTACTCTTTCGCACAAATTTACTAAATGGATTTTTATGAAACAACAATAATATAGCTCATACATAATAACAACATATAGATAATAACTTATGTAGTTATTGAGTGAATTGGCCAAAATATAACAATAAGTGTCACGTAAAACGGAAAAATCTCCCATCTGCGAGCCATTTTTGCCAGCACTGCAAAAATAATAAAAGTTACATGAATATAATGTATAGTATAAATGTATCTCTTAAATAGTTCTACAAAAAAGTCCGCGACAGCATATATATATTTTTAATATGTAAGCCATTATCGCTTAAATAGTGAATCAAAAATAAAAAAAAATATGTGGTGTCGTGGGACACCAGGTAGGAACGAAGTTCCTTCGGCTAATGTAGAATCGACACAAATTGCAAACTCGCTTGTGTATGCGACTGTCGCGCCTGCTCACGTCTCATTTAACGGTTTTATTCCACGCACTTTTTCCCACGGATTTTTTCTTACGGTTTTACTATCACATTTTTTTCAGTTCGGTCGCGCAGCAAAATCCCTATCCCCTCCAAGCCTGCCGTAAGGAACTTCGTCGCGCCTACGCACGTCTCATTTAACGGTTTTATTCCACGCACTTATTTCCACGGATTTTTTCTTACGGTTTTACTATCACATTTTCACATTTTTTTCAGTTCGGTCAGCTAGTGTTCGTAAAGATTGTTAGGCAGGACTGGCCCACAAATTATAATAAACTACAATGTCACAATAATCTAGTAATGCAGCCCCGTCGCTCTGCCACCCCCTGGACTTAAGCACAGTTTAGTATAATATACGACAATAATCCAGTGTTGGTATAATGCCACAATAATTTGGGGTTGCACTCCCGTCGCTCTGTCACCCCCTGTTAAGTACTGACCTTGTTATCATGTCTAGCTTAAGTTTACAGCAGATGATAGGCGTTTCTGCTCCACAGCTCGGTATAACGTCACAAATATCCAGATTTCGTGTAATGTCACAATATTCCAGTGCTGCACCCTCGTAGCTGTGCCACCCCCTACATACGCACCTTATTATCATGTCCCGCTAGCGTTCGTAAAGGATGCTAGGCAGGACTGGCCCACAGTTTAGAATAAACTACAATGTCACAATAATCCAGTGATGCACCCCCGTCGCTCTGCCACCTCCTGATAAGTACTCACCTTGTAATCATAATCATGTCTCACAGGCGTTACTGGTCCACAGCTTGATATAACTTCACACATATTCAGTGTTGGTGTAATATTTCAGTGATGCACCCTCGTCGCTCTACCACCCCCTATAACTTCACACATATTCAGTGTTGGTGTAGTATCCCAATATTTCAGTGATGCACCCTCGTGGCTCTACCACCCTATATAACTTCACACATATTCAGTGTTGGTGTAATATCACAATATTTCAGTGATGCACCCTTATCGCTCTACCAACCCCTATAACTTCACATATATTCACTGTTGTTGTAGTATCACAATATTTCAGTGATGCACCCTCGTCGCTCTACCACCCCCTATAACTTCACACATATTCAGTGTTGGTGTAATATCACAATATTTCAGTGATGCACCCTCGTCGCTCTACCACCCCCTATTACTTCACACATATTCAGTGTTGGTGTAATATAACAATATTTCAGTGATGCACCCTCGTCGCTCTACCACCCCCTATAACTTCACACATATTCAGTGTTGGTGTAATATCACAATATTTCAGTGATGCACCCTCGTCGCTCTACCACCCCTTATAACTTCACACATATTCACTGTTGGTGTAATATCACAATATTTCAGCGATGTACCCTCGTCCCTCTACCACCCCCTATAACTTCACACATATTCACTGTTGGTGTAGTATCACAATATTTCAGTGATGCACCCTCGTCGCTCTACCACCCCCTATAACTTCACACATATTCAGTGTTGGTGTAATATCACAATATTTCAGTGATGCACCCTCGTCGCTCTACCACCCCCTGTAACTTCACACATATTCACTGTTGGTGTAATATAACAATATTTCAGTGATGCACCCTCGTCGCTCTACCACCCCCTATAACTTCACACATATTCAGTGTTGGTGTAATATTTCAGTGATGCACCCTCGTCGCTCTACCACCCCCTATAACTTCACACATATTCAGTGTTGGTGTAGTATCCCAATATTTCAGTGATGCACCCTCGTGGCTCTACCACCCCCTATAACTTCACACATATTCAGTGTTGGTGTAATATCACAATATTTCAGTGATGCACCCTTATCGCTCTACCAACCCCTATAACTTCACACATATTCACTGTTGTTGTAGTATCACAATATTTCAGTGATGCACCCTCGTCGCTCTACCACCCCCTATAACTTCACACATATTCAGTGTTGGTGTAATATCACAATATTTCAGTGATGCACCCTCGTCGCTCTACCACCCCCTATTACTTCACACATATTCAGTGTTGGTGTAATATAACAATATTTCAGTGATGCACCCTCGTCGCTCTACCACCCCCTATAACTTCACACATATTCAGTGTTGGTGTAATATCACAATATTTCAGTGATGCACCCTCGTCGCTCTACCACCCCCTATAACTTCACACATATTCAGTGTTGGTGTAATATAACAATATTTCAGTGATGCACCCTCGTCGCTCTACCCCCCCCTATAACTTGACACATATTCAGTGTTGGTGTAATATCACAATATTTCAGTGATGCACCCTCGTCCCTCTACCACCCCCTATAACTTCACACATATTCAGTGTTGGTGTAGTATCACAATATTTCAGTGATGCACCCTCGTCGCTCTACCACCCCCTATTACTTCACACATATTCAGTGTTGGTGTAATATCACAATATTTCAGTGATGCACCCTCGTCGCTCTACCACCCTCTATAACTTCACACATATTCAGTGTTGGTGTAATATCACAATATTTCAGTGATGCACCCTCGTCGCTCTACCACCCCCTATAACTTCACACATATTCAGTGTTGGTGTAGTATCACAATATTTCAGTGATGCACCCTCGTCGCTCTACCACCCCCTATAACTTCACACATATTCAGTGTTGGTGTAATATCACAATATTTCAGTGATGCACCCTCGTCGCTCTACCACCCCCTATAACTTCACACATATTCAGTGTTGGTGTAATATCACAATATTTCAGTGATGCACCCTCATCGCTCTACCACCCCCTATGCGCACGTCTCATTTAATGGTCTTATTCCACGCATTTTTTCTTACGGTTTTACTATCACATTTTTTTCAGTTCGGTCGCGCAGCAAAATCCCTATCCCCTCCAAGCCTGCCGTAAGGAACTTTGTCGCGCCTGCGGAGGTGTTTTTTGAATACATAAATGGAAATACTTGCTCTTAAAAGGGGTGGGATGTTGTTCCACATCTTTGCTGCTACATAGCGAAAACTGCCTCTGAAAGACGCTGACCCATGAGTCTGAGTAGCACGTCGCTTTGCGTTGTCTTTTCTCTCCCTACAAACGACTGAGCTATATTGTTGTCCGTTTCTTGATAACAAATGGCGAATAACTTAATAACATTCAAGACAAACCATGATCTTCGAGAAAAAAAAAGTTTTTATAGTTTTACGAATGAACAGTGTTGCCGTGGAATTTGTTATTTGATCTTGAACTATTTGTGTTCTTTTTAAAAGCATCGAAAGCATTTTTTTGTCTGTCTAACACAGAATATACGCAATATTGTTATATTGAGTGTACATGCAGTCTGTTTGGATGGCAAATTGTGACTAAAGCGAATTGTGATCATGCATCACTATTTAAGCGGATCACTTTTGAGTTGCGAATGCCGTATCTTCCCTTTTTGTTTTTATCTGAGGAAAAAACCTACAATATTAACACTTTGTAGCAAAGTGTGCGCGGCGTGTCCGACTGAATGCAAGTCGGGCAATTACCTGACTTTCGTATTGCCAAATTAGAAACGTGTATGACGTATCTGTGATTTTAAAACATCAGAGCTTAACTCCCAACGGTCGCAGGCCGAACGCGGTATACTCCTGCGCCGTCAAGCTACTAATAGGTAATTAGTTTACGTAACACAAAACTTTCACCTATCCGACTATCCTAAGTTATTGTCGGCCTAACCTGAGAATACAAGTCCACCCAAGCCGCTATTCTCGGTTCGCTTATTAATTGGCGCAGAACATAAACTGTGCAAAATATTAATGCAAGATTTTTAATTACAGGACCCGCTGTAAAATTTTGGAAAAACCTAGCGGCCGAAGAAGGCTTGAAACTAAAGAAGTATGTTTATGTAAAAGGCATGCCTGTTTTGGTGATAAAGTGGCCTGGATCCGACCCAACTTTGAGCAGCATCATGCTCAACTCGCACATGGATGTAGTGCCTGCAGCTCTAGAGGTATTGAGCGAAGTGTAATCTTTCTCCACTTTTGATAATATATTTTTTCTTGAAAGCTGACGTATAATAATATTAAAAAGAACCTACCTGCACGTGAAGTTCTAATATAATTATGTGAGCTGCTCAATTCGAAGCGATTAATTAACTTGTGGTAGTCCGCCTTAGCAACTACGGCTCACGATTGTCCAAAGCGAGAATTTAAAAAGTTTTTGACAGCTTCTGTCTCTACTAAGAGCGCGCCAATTTGAATGTCATCAAGTAGTCTGTGGTCATTGTCTGTTTTCGGTCTGCGGCCGGTTTATTGAAAATTTTTGATTTAAACTTTTATAATAATAATATTTATTTCCTAAGAATATAATTAAACATTGACATTAGTTTTACTAAGTGCACCTTACAGTTACTATTTTCAAAAAAGTGTGAATCCCAAACTCCCAAACTAGGACATGTCCCGTATCTCAAGAGTCAGTGGCTCCTCCCAGATAAGTAAACTCAATGGCGTACATCTTTAGAACTTAATTATGATTTTATTTATTTTTTAAGCATTTAACTGCTAGATGTTTAAATCTAAAGAAAAGTTTACTAGAAAAAAATCCACGCGGACCAGGCAGCGGACGGGACTCGAACCCGCATCCTTCGCTATCCGGGCGAATGCACTGACCATTATGCTACCACGGCCCTATTAGCCGCGTCGAAATTTTCCTAGCCTTAAGCTGCAAGGCAGCGCCATCTCTTCGCATTGTAGGTAACCCACAATGTCAAATGAATACTTTTTCAAGTATTAAACATTTGAAAGAAGAAATAGCAATTATAGTTATGATTTTATTTATTTTATAAGCATTTAACTGCTAGATGTTTAAATCTAAAGAAAAGTTTACTAGAAAAAAATCCACGCGGACCAGGCAGCGGACGGGACTCGAACCCGCATCCTTCGCTATCCGGGCGAATGCACTGACCATTATGCTACCACGGCCCTATTAGCCGCATCGAAATTTTCCTAGCCTTAAGCTGCAAGGCAGCGCCATCTCTTCGCATTGTAGGTAACCCACAATGTCAAATGAATACTTTTTCAAGTATTAAACATTTGAAAGAAGAAATAGCAATTATAGTTATGATTTTATTTATTTTTTAAGCATTTAACTGCTAGATGTTTAAATCTAAAGAAAAGTTTACTATAAAAAAATCCAGAAAAAATTGTGGGTTACCTACAATGCGAAGAGATGGCGCTGCCTTGCAGCTTAAGGCTAGGAAAATTTCGACGCGGCTAATAGGGCCGTGGTAGCATAATGGTCAGTGCATTCGCCCGGATAGCGAAGGACGCGGGTTCGAGTCCCGTCCGCTGCCTGGTCCGCGTGGATTTTTTTCTAGTAAACTTTTCTTTAGAACTTAATGTTATGATTTAATGCAAATAAATGTTTATGTGTGTGTGTGTGTGTGATAATGGTTCGTGCTAGGGGTACTGTACCCCTAGCACGAACCATTATCGAATTCGAATAGTTTGCAAACCGAAATGTCAATGTCAAATTTTGTATGGAAACTTGAACAGCAGCGGCACAAAGTCCGTAACGAGAACTAAAAATCAGTACACATTTTACAATGGCACTTTGGACTCGCAAACGTTAAAAATTCGATATTGGTTCGTGATAAGGGTACTGGTCAATCACATATTCCGCCAGCAAGTTTTCTATTTTCACCATTTCATTACGTTACACGCAAGTTTTCTATTTCATTACTTTTTATTCTGTCAATAATTTCTTGGGCATTTCAATAAGTTATTGGGTCATGAAAAGCAGTAGTGACGACTGAAGCAATTTTAAAATCGTGCTGCATGTGATGTAATACTTTATTAAAATAATCTTGCCGAAACAACTTAAAATCGCGTTCGAAGCGACCATTCGCAACTTTTACGACCCACCGACATAGAGTCACTTCTTGATTTATTCGCATTAAGAGTAGATATTTTCTTTTGACTTCTTTGTACGAATAAAGGCATATGCGCATCATAAGGGGCCATCCATAAATTACGTCACACTTTAAGGGGGCGAGAGGGGGTCGACGTAGTGTGACATCGTGTGACAAGGGGGTCGGAAGGGATCTAAATTTCGTGACGTCACATTTCAAAATCTATTATAATGTAAGTGTTGAAACACGAACTTTAAACTATTACTTTACTGAAACATTAACAACCCAAACGAGAACTATAATTAAACGCTGTTTGATTTGATGTTAATATTATTAAATAATAATTTAAATGGAAACTACTTACATTAGAGGCAGGCGAATACGATTATATCATCGAGGTTAGCAAATATTCATATATAGACCCCCCCCCCCCCCCCAGTTTTCAGATTTATTCCTGTACTTATGATCTATATCGATGTTACTTTAATGTAAGAGGTCACAGGAAAATTATAAACGATCATGGATACGAGTGGATTTATTTTTATGGGTTTAGAGTGGTACCCTGATGTAAGTAATGTCGACCGACATTGCCTGCTCTTAGTGGTTGCATCTTCGGGAAATAGCGCAAGAAAGAAGCTTCATTGTTGAGAAAAAAATACCATACGGGAAATGGTCAGTTTTGGTATGTATGTGAAGTATCACATCTCCAGCGCTGAAACAAATCGGTCTGTTGGCTTTCAGTAGTTGCATCTTTGAGGAACATTGTTTCACAGAGTATTATTCACAGTGGTGAAAAAAAAAAACAATAAGGGAAATGGTCAGTTTTAGTATGTATTTGAAGTACGCCATCTTCGGTGCTGAAAAAAGGCGGTCTGACGGTTGTCACTTAATAATCTTTGGAAAAAATCCGCGTGCAGCGACCGCAGACTGCTGATCCTGTGGTGTCACGAACCGCAGAGGTCACACGTATTTAAAAAAAATACGTCTTTTTCGGATGATGATTAAGAGAAGTTAATTAACTTTGTTTCTGGTCATCCATTCCATTACGACATATCTAAGTTACCGCTATGATTTGATCATAGATAATGTGTGGAGAGCAATCGGAAAGGACTTAAATAAAAATAATAAGTACCTACCTAAATGGGAATATACGCTATTTGAATTGCAATGGCCCATAGACAAATTTTATGTTAAACATATTTAATTTCTTAATTTTGTTCTGTATGCTTAAAAAATAAAGAATATGGCCTTTTGTTTGGCTCACATAGTTCCTCTTCTATCAAAAGACACATTAGTAAATTATCGGTAGCGTGTCTGACATTTTGTCTCGCACGAATGTATTGGAGTGACTGAGGCATGGTTCAAGCATTGTGCAGCCGCGGCATGCCGCCGTACTCGGAATAGAAACTGTTGCGACCGCAGGCAGCACTGCGGTCAGCCGCAGGCGCTAGCCGCAGTGTTGCCTGCGGGCGCAGTCTGCAGCCCACTGCGGAATTGTACCTTATATTTGCCAACCTAGATTGGGATATTGTTGAGCCTAGATAGGTCTATGAAAAAGCTATTTTCAATAATCCGTCAAAAACAAATATCGGTTTTAACCTATTTATATTCTAGCATTTCAACTGTTTCGATAAAAGTAATATCACTCGAAAGTCGGAACAAAGAGTGTCAAACATTAGCATCGAAACATAGCGAGAACCGCCTGATTACTGCATTTGTTTATTTTAAAATAATTGGAATAACTGTTTCAATTGCATGCACTGATAATGAATGTAATGAATGAGAAGAGAAATGAGCTGCCAATTCCGTTTCGTCAAAAATTAAAGTGTGTTTCTCTATGGTCAGGGATTCCCACGTTGCGGATTGAACGGTGCGAACCAATTTAGTATTGCCAACATAATGATTTTCCTCTAATTTTTTAAAGGAATTTACGTATAAATATATAAATACCGTACCTACCCTAACGCCGCTAGTGCCTAGACCAGGTTTGGAATATTAGAAGAGGCAAATATTTCCAAAAAGAAATGATTTACACATGTAATACCAATTAAACAAGATTTTCATAATTGCAGGATGGATGGATTATTCCTCCATTTTCTGGCCAAATATCGGATGGCAAAATTTATGGGCGTGGTTCACAGGACATGAAGTCAGTGTCGATTCAGTATTATGAAGCTTTGAAGAGAATAAAGGAAAAGAACATAACTCTTTTAAGGAATGTCTATATGACACTTATGCCTGGTGCGTAATTGCTAATTTTGACCTTAAATATTAATAAATTTTTAGAAATTATTTTCTAGAAGATCTACAACTTTTGGATTTCCACCTTTTTCGTAGTTGCCTTTTTTTAATGTTTGGAAAATTTGTTACGGATTCTCCGCCCACAGTAAAAAACCAAACAATGGAGTATTGTACCTATTTTCTGACACATATCCCGAAGACCGCAACACATACGTTTAAGGGGGCGGACATACATAGTACACCCAAAGGGACTGACCATGCGTCCGCCGGTGATTACCCTCCCCCGGACATGGACACTAAGTAAATATGCAGTTCCCCGAGCTAAAAGGGTCATCCACTAATCACAGGAACACGGGATGCAATGCGGGCTGCCGCTCCCACACCAGTCCGCTGGTTCCCGGAGGAGCGGGAGGGGCAGCGTAGTTCTCCCCGTCCCTCTCCCCTCGCCATCGGAGTTGGAGCAGTCGTTCCACTTCCCCGGGCGCCCGAGTCCCCCGTTCCCCTCGCTGAGGACTCCAAGCGACTAGTTGGTCTCTCAGACATCCCCTCACCTGGGCCCGACAGTCCCTAGGGGGTCTGCTCCCAAAGGCAGGGTCTCTGTCCCCGACGGGATCACTCCTGACGACTAGTGGGTCAAAACTCCTTCGCCCATCTTGTGATCCGCCGGGCGACTGGCATGCGCACATACGTCGCAGTGGAATTTGTAGGCAAAACACTTTGCCGCCTTGTGTCCACTTTCTCCACATCGTTAGCACATCTGGCTCCGGTCTGTCTCTCCGGGGCATTGTTAGCCAGTGACCCTTACCCAGGTACCTGAAACAGCACGCGGGTAAAGGTCCCATGATCCGCACCCGCACCTGGTTCCAACCAATCTGGAGTCGGAAGCTGCGCTGATATGCTCCTCGATGTCCATGGACCCAACCAGGCATGTCCCACCCTGATCTTATCGATGGGGCAGTAACCCCTTCAGCAGCAACCGCAGCAGCGATCTCCCCTTGTGTATTGTACTCATCGAGGCCAGTTAAGTACAAGTGTGCGCATTTCTTCGGCCTCCTGATTTCCATCTCTTCAGCCCTTTCTATCTTCTTGTGTTTTCGACGAGGGCATCCGCCTTCTCGCTAGCATTTGGACCAGGTACCACGATGTGCCAACCACCCGTCTGGCTCTCCTTTATATTTACCCCCTTGGGGATGCCCAGGGTAGTCAGGGAGAATGCCCTCTTGGCATCCATGATCCACCCCATATAGGTCCGCCCATTCTGCTCTGCCTCAGGTTTCAGCCTTTTTTCAACGATTGCCGACGCAGAAACCTTCAACCGCTTTGGTGAACCTCCTTTAGGAGGCACCTTTCTCTTCTACTTTGCCTTTTTCTTTTCCTTCGTAAGGGCAGGTTTGGAATCAGTTTGATTTGGAGTGGGGGTGGTTGACCCCCTGCTCTGTCACCTTAGATGCCTTTGTTCTTTTCTTCGTCTTCCCTCTCACTACCTGGCTCCACATCTCTGTCCCAGCCGGTTGGCTCGTGAGCTCCGCCTGTTTTGCCACTCGCCTAGGTGGCTCGTGGACTCCGCCTGGTTTTCCACTCACCTAAGAGCGAATTTTTTAGATGTTACCCCAATTCCCGAACTAAAATCTCCCGAAATTTTCCTTTTTTTTAATAAGTTCTCTTCCTTTTAATATGGGTTCCATCCAGATCCGAAAAATTTTCACTTTTTACGATTTTCAAAGGCATCGGCCCAGGTCTAATGGGCGATTGTAATACTATACTGTATTACAATCGCCCATTAGACCCATATATAGAGATCAATAAAATAAAACAATTGAATGCATTAATTTCAGATGAAGAAGTAGGTACTGTAGCTGGAATGCAAAAGTTCTTACAGAGCAAAGAGTTTAAAGCAATGAATGTTGGCTTCGAGCTCGACGAAGGTGGCGCTGTGAATTTGCCCGTGCTACCCGTATTATATCAAGATAAAGCAGTGTGGCGTAAGTTATCTACAAAAAGAATAACAATTGTTAAAAAGTAAATGAAAGTCCTAAACAGTAATATACTGAAAAAGTAGGTAAGGTGTTTTAAGATTGTTTAAATGAAAGAAAACCATCCATATTAGACTAATCCATTGAAAAAATAGAAATAGATAGTGTTATGTATATATTCTCTTTGGGCTTTGATGACGTTACTTAGTTACGCTTGTTATTGGAATGTCACTTAATTATCTAATAAATAAAATGTACATATTGAACTAATAATATCTTATTTAAAAGTAAAAGGAATCCTTCCAGAATTTCCTAAAAAGGATAAATGTATATTTCCTACTTAACAATATTACTGATTCCAAACTCAAAGTGTATGTTTTGATATCAACGCTACCTCCAGAACTACATGAAAAAATTTGCGATCTATGTTCTCCAGATGATCCAGCCAACAAATAATTTGATGAAATAACACAATTATTAGATGAATATTTGGACCCTAAGCCTAGTATCTGGACCCTACAACAAATTTATTTCTCGATTACAACAACAACAAGAAACCGTAACAAACTACGCTTCAGAACTAAGAAACTTTCTTCTAATTGTGGCTTTAGATGTTTACATTGTAGCAAATCAATTGCTGAAAAATTTTTATGCTTGCAATTAATTCGAGGTCTGAAAGATGGTGATGTACGCACAAAATTACTTCAAGACAGAAACACAATATTGTTTTCTAAATTAATTCAGACTGCATCGGCAATGGAACAAGGCAAAAGTGATAACAGTTACATATCCAGAGACGTACGAGTAAACACAGACAATATTTATAATATTTCAACTTCTAACCAAAAATCGATTCAAAACTACAATGCAAAACAGACAACCTCATTCCCTATTATAATAAGGGAATTGAGAGGGAAATGTTTCCGGTGTGGGGACATGCAACATCGAGCAAATGATTGTAAAATGGTAAATACTACTTGCTCAAGATGCAAAAAGAAAGGCCACATTTCGAAAGTCTGTTTACAACGTAATATAAATACTCACCAAGTACATCAATCATTAAGTTCCATAAATGATGACAATTTGGCAGAAATAAATAAACTAACTAGCGAAATTACTGATAAATATTTGATTACCATTTTGATCAATTCTAAGACATTACAAATGGAATTTGTTACTGAAGCTACATTGTCCTCAATTTCGCTGTCAGATTATAATAAATTACAACTTCAAAATAAAATTTACGAAACCGACATGAAATTAAAAACGTACACTGGGAAAGTAATTAAGCCATATATATGGATTTACATATATCAAGGGGCAATACAAAAACCAAACATTCCATGGGAAGCTCTACATTATTGACAAAAATGTGGACCCCATTTTTGGAAGAAACTGGATGAAGGAGTTAAACTTCGAGTTAGCAGATATGAGAACACTACAAAGTACAGAAGAATACCCTCACCTAGATCACCTACTGGAAGAATACTCATCGACGGTATTTCAATCTGATTTAGGTAAAATACCAAATTTTCAGGGACATCTTAACTTAAAAGAAAACGTACAACCTTTTTTTATCAAACCTCGACGTATACCCTATGGTCTAAAATCAAAAGTAGATGATGAAATTGAACGTCTTTGTAAAGAAGGAGTAATAACCAAAGTAGACTACGCAGAATGGGGAACTCCGATTGTACCAATAGTGAAACTAAATGGAACAATCAGACTTTGTGCGGATTACAAGGTAACGCTTAATAAAGTTCTCAAAGATGAAAAATACCCTATACCGATTATAGAAGAGATATTTTCTGAGATGAATGGTGGACAATTATTTACTACATTAGATATTAATCAAGCCTACTTAAATATGATGATGGACGAGGAAAGTTCCCTTTTACAAACAATCAGTACTCATAAAGGCACTTACAAAGTCAACAGATTAATGTTTGGTGTTAAGGTAGCGCCCAGTTTATGGCAAAAATTCATGGATCGGCTACTACAAGGAATACAAGGAGTAAAATGTTTCTTTGATGACATAATCATTCAAGGGACTTCGGAAAGTCAAATGTTACAAAGATTAAAACAAGTTCTGGAAAAATTAAAGGAAAACAACCTTCGATTAAATAAAAACAAATGCAATTTCTTCAAAAAAAGTATTAATTATCTTGGCCACACCATAGACTCCCACGGCTTGCATAAAAACAAAGAGAAAACAAACGCTATTGCGGCAACTAGAAGGCCAACCAATATAAACGATCTAAGAACATTTCTCGGAATGGCAAACTACTACAATAAATTTATCCCAAATTTAGCATATATAACGTGCCCACTCAACCACTTGCTGAAGAAAGACTCGAAGTTTCACTGGACAGCAGATTGTGAAATATAGTTTCAATGCCATTAAGAAAGAAATATTGAGTGATAGAGTACTCACACACTTTGACCGAACCAAACCTTTGATCTTAGCCACTGGCGCCTCACCCATGGGACTAGGAGCAGTTTTATCTCACAGATTTCCAGACGGTTCTGAAAGACCCATAGCCTTTGCATCCAGAACACTATCTAGCAGCGAACGTAAATATAGTCAGATAGACAAAGAAGCCACGGCTATATATTGGGGACTTAAAAAGTTCTTCTACTACTGCTATGGACGTAAATTTACATTAATTACCGATCACAAGCCACTAAGGTCGATTTTTCACCCACATCAAACTTTGCCCACTCTAAGCACGATGAGATTGTTTCATTATATTTATTTCTTAGGTTTTCACGCACATCACTCATTACATAAAACTAGTTTTTTACGGGTTAATGCACGAAACTTTATTTATTTATTGACGTTTCGTAGCCTTTACAGGCTACGTCGTCAGAATCAAATTTTATTTAATTTTGTCGAGCTACCTTCGAAAGACTTTTTTATTGAGCGTTCGATTTTTATTTTTTTTATTTTTATTGTCTATGTATGAATTTATTTAATTTAGTTAATAAAGTACTTTATTTAAAATTCTTTTTGTAATTTTGAGTTTATTTATTTGACCCTAACTACCGTAAACTACCACCGGTTCAAAAATTGAGACCTTCCTAAGAAGAACCGGCGAAACAAACTCAAGAGAGGCTTTCTATCTCCTTCTTATAAATAAAGTTTCGTGCATTAACCCGTAAAAAACTAGTTTTATTTAATTGTTTCATTATGCTCATTACCTATCGGGATTTGACTATGACATAGAGTACAGAACATCGTCAAAACATTCGAACGCGTATTACCTATCAAGATTTTCCACTGAAAAGGACAAAGAAAACAAAATAGATCAATGCAGTCATTTCCAATTACAACAAATGAATACCTTAGACGTTTGTCCAGATATAATTTCAAAAGAAACTTTAAATGATTCTGAAATGGACAATCAGTCAGAAGATACGGATATCAAGATAATGAACTTACCTTACAAAATGATTGCATACTTAAAGGTACACGTGTAATGATTCCACCAATGTTACGCATACATATATTAAATGAACTCCACGTTGGCCATCCCGGGATGTTGAAGATGAAACTGCTGGCTCGTAGTTTTGTTTACTGGTTTACTTACATCGACCAAGATATCGAGAATAAATTAAAGTCTTGCAGAGCGTGTCGATTACAACAGAACGAACCAGCGAAAGCTCCATTACATCATTGGGAATACCCTACTGAGGTATGGCAAAGAGTTCACATCGACTTCGCAGGTCCAATCGGAGGCTACTATTTACTCATCCTAGTGGACGCTTATTCAAAATGGACTGAAATCATACCTACGAAAACAACCACGACTAATTGGTGCATTAAAAAGTTGTCAGAAATATTTGCTACATTCGGATCTCCGTACACATTAGTATCCGATAATGGTCGGCAATTTGTGTCCCAGGATTTTCAAAGATTCTTGAAGGACAATGGGATTACACAGAAAACAATTGCACCATACCACCCCGCTACGAATGGGCAAGCAGAGCGCTATGTACAAATTATCAAGAAAGCTTTGGGATGTCATGTTACAGCAACCCTCCGCTGCAAGCGACTCTCGAGACACGAAAAGGCAGATAGAATTAAAGAAACAATTCAAACAGGGTGACCGTGTTCAGGCTCGGAGTTATAATGGCATCCACAGATGGGAGTTTGGCACTGTGATACGACGGCTGGGGCGTGTCCATTATGAAGTTACGATGGATAGTGGTGAGGTATGGAGACATCACCTGGACCAGTTGCTACCGGCCCCTCTGGTGCGGTAGCCAGGAATGGCCGCGGAGGCGTGTTATATATATAGGGTGAAATTGAATGTTTCTATGAAACTTCGTGAGATTGTTGGGTTATGTGTATAGAGTATGCCTGTTTTATTTCGGATTTTTTTGAAGTATATTTTTTTCATGTATTTATTTATAATTTGTGTATTTTTATGTCCTTTCCTCCTTTTGAGTAGTTATTCATTTTAAACAAACAAACTTACATATCCAGTGAAAAACAACTAATAAATAAGCACTTCTAAAAAACGGAAAAACATTAAATTCCACCGCGGGTCAACGACCGACCGCGCCCGCCAGCCGTTGAGTGAATAGGTACCTAGCTCTACACAGAGCTCAGCTGACTCGTTTGATTCCACACAATACAATAAAATCGGCTTAGATGCCTTTATTGAAATTGAAATAATAAGCACAAATGTCATCTTCTCTTAAGCAGAGAAAAACTTTAAAAGTTAATAATAATTTTGACACGATTGGAAATAGGCAAATGTTAAACAAAAAGAAATACTTATTGCAGTTCAATACTTGGGTCAGAATGAAAATTATAACCAGATATTCAAAAGTACTTACGAGACCGGCGATGTAAGAAGGTACAACGAGGAACGAGGAACATATTCATTTTTTTCACTAGAACTTTTTATCAAATCAATCACACGGGTAGTACACAATTAGTTGTTTCTAATCAAAAAGTATTTACACTAGCAATAAAAAGAGACTTAAATTAATATCTGCAAAATTGTTGCTCTAAACCACAATTTCGCTGCAAACAAAGGTAGGCATGTTTGCGGACGTGTCTTTTCACCTTTTTTAAAGTGTCCCTATCACTGCTGACTGCACAAAATGCAACTTCTATGGTTTGGGGACTCATTCGTAAACCAAACCTACTTCGTCACACTCGCGATAGCAGTACACCATCTCTAAATATTCTTGGTTCGTATACCGAGGCATAATGAAATTATCACAGTGTATGTCACTAAGTCAAAAGATACGCACGCTCACGCGCGATTGATATACTTGCGACTGCGTTTTGCATGCAATCAAAGCAAACCACGGCGTGCGGGGAAGAGGGGAGGTGGGCGGAATTCACATCATCAAAGACGCCGCAACCGGCGCTAGTTGCCAGCGTGCGGCGCGCCGCTCGCCCGTGCTTGCCGCAAAACAACATATTATTATGTATGTGTGTGTGTGTGTGTGACTGTGGCTGTGATTAAACGTTTTGGGAATTTCATGACGTGGGCAAATCAGACACGAAGAGTTCCTTCCTTCACTAAGCTCGTAAGTTATACCGATTTGCTCTGTATGATTTTTCACAATTTTAAATAAGCCGTTTGTGCTTAAGTTTTAATTAAACGAGGCAACTAACATTAACAATAAAAAAGAAGTTCTTACACTAACTAACAAACAGGCTTTACCGATTTAAAATCGTGATAGTCATATTAACTTTATAGGATTTTTAATTGCTCTAACAGAAGATTGATTAATTACTTGTGCTTTATGAAATAATATTCAAAGGTATTGTGTATCAGTGAATAAATAATTATAATAAAGCATCTAAGATTATTTTATTGTAATGTTTTTAAATAGTGTGGATCAAAGCGGAGAGTAGGTAAGCGCCGAGTCATCTGTGCGTGTAATAGGTACCTAAACAGGCGGCCGCCGCGCCGGTCGTCGCCCCGACCGGCGCTGATCTCGACTGGAGGCATAATGAAGGCATTCATTAAGTTTCCGTTTTTTTAGTAGTGCTCTTTTTAAGTTGCTTTATAACTTCTATGTAGACATGTTTAAAATGAATAATTACTCATAAGGAAGAAATGACAAAAAAATAACCAAATAAAAAATTAAAAATCGAAAAATTTTATTTTAAAAAATCCGAAAAAAATCAGGCATTATCTATACACGTAACCCAACAATCTCACGAAGTTTCATAGAAACATTCAATTTCACCCTGTATATATTCTCTTTGGGCTTTGATGACGTTACTTAGTTACGCTTGTTATTGGAATGTCACTTAATTATCTATCTATACAGGGTGAAATTGAATGTTTTAATGAAACTTTGTGGGATTGTTGGGTTACGTATATGGACTAACTCTGAATTTTTTCGGATTTTTTAAAAATGATTTAAAATAAAATTCCTTTTTTTTTTGTTATATTTTAAGTCCTTTCCTCCTTTTGGGTACTAAATAATTATTCTTTTTAAACACGCATACAGAGTAAGTAAAAAACAACTAATAAGCACTACTAAAAAAACGTAAAAACAGAAGACGAGCGGCCGGGAGCAATGACCGCTCCCGCCCGTTGAATCGGTTGAATACCTACCTATGCGTTGAATACCTGCAAAGCGCAGTGAGCGAGCGTAGTGTCAAGTTAATAAACCGCGCGTGCTTATCTTTTAAATTTGTGACAAGAGAAGATTTGCAAATAATGCCTTGATTAGTTCTTGTTCTGTGGCCTCAATATAAGAAGTTGGATATGGTGTGTTGTTATTGTAGTGTCACGGAATACTCAGCAGAGCCACAAGGCTTTACGAAAGTAGGTTTAGTGATTGATTGTGTTTACAAAGTGTATACGGGAAGTTAAAGTGAAAAAAATGAATAGGTTCATCGGTCTCGTAAGTACTTTTGAATACCTGCTTATAAATTTTATTCTGACCCAAGTATTGAACTGCAATAAGTATTTCTTTTTGTTTAACATTTGCCTATTTCTAATCGTGACAAAATTATTATTAACTTTTAAAGTTTTTCTCTGCTTAAGAGAAGATGACATTTGTGCTTATTATTTCAATAAAGGCATAAGATGACTTTATTGTATTGTGTGGAATCAAAGGAGTCAGCTGAACTCTGTGTAGAGGTACCTACTCACTCAACGGCTGGCGGGTGCGGTCGGTCGTTGACCCGCGGTGGAATTTTAATGTTTGTCCATTTTTTAGAAGTGCTTATTTATTAGTTATTTTTCACTGGATATGTAAGTTTGTTTGTTTAAAATGAATAACTACTCAAAAGGAGGAAAGGACATAAAAATACACAAATTATAAATAAATACATGAAAAAAATATACTTCAAAAATTCCGAAAAAAATCAGGCATACTCTATACATGTAACCCAACAATCTCACGAAGTTTCATTAAAACATTCAATTTCACCCTATATATATAAAAATGAAACCCGTTTTCCGTTGTCACGACATAACATGAAAACGGCTTGACCGATTTGGCTGTTTTTTTTTTTTGTAGTTTTCTAATACTCTGTACAAGGTTCTTACGGAAAAAAATATAAAGAAAATCCCAAGGGGATAAAATAAGGAATGAAAGTTTGTATGAAACTTTATCAATTTTAAACCGATCGGGCTGAGACTTTGCATGCAGGTATAAGAAGAATCATAGATGAATGTCATTGTGTATAATACAAGCCTGAGAACAAAAACTGTAGTCTACACTTCAGCTCTACACCGAAGCGAAGCGAGGGCGGGCCGCTAGTACTTATAATAAATCTGTAGAGATGTCAATTCTGTACATGAAATATATTTTTAAAATAACTATCAGGGGGTGATTAGTGATCGATACTGATGCCAAAAATGCAATCAGTAAGATTTTTGTCTGTCTGTCTGTCTGTCTGTCTGTGTGTATGTTCCTTATAGAAACAAAAACTACTCGACGGATTTAAACGAAACTTGGTACAATTATTCTTCTTACTCCTGGGCAGGTTATAGTATACTTTTCATCACGCTACAATCAATAGGAGCAGAGTAGTGAAGGAAAATATTGGGAAAACGGGAGAAGTTACTCCATTTTTTAAGCTTCAGTCACATGTGCAGCCTTAATGGTTAAAGTTACATAGAAATCATGTATGACGGAAATATTCTATATAAAATTGTCTAAAAAATATCCTGCAACAGCATATGTTTATCTTTTATGGTTGACTCACAATAACACGTGTAATTATATAAATAAAGTCATTGTTTATAACACAAGCCTGAGAACAAAAACTATAGTTTACACTACAGCTCTACACCGAAGCGAAGCGAAGGCCGGCCACTAGTCTAATAAATAAAATGTACATATTGAACTAATAATATCTTATTTAAAAGATAGAATAGTTGAATGTCTTTGATTTTTTACAGAAATAATAGTTGAATGTCGCGGAACTGCAGGACATGGGTCTTCTTTTCAACCTACAAATTCTACAGCAGTTGGAAAAGTAAGATTTCTTTTGTATGATAATACCTACACACAAAAACACAATTATTAAAACAACACAGATAGATATAGACTAGAGTTATTTGAAGAGTTGAAAAATGTGTGTGTTATTTTATACATTAAATATAATAACATTTACATAAATGTTAAAACATTGCTTAATAGAAAAGAAAACGAGTGTGCTTATGACCACACTTCTGAAGTGAAACTTCTTTAGCTCCAATGATCATAATCTTAATCTGAAGAAAAAAAAACACCAATCCGCGCTGGGTCCGTTATGAGGCTCCGATCCGCACTGGGTCCATTATCACCCACCAATCCGCGCTAGGTCCGTTATCACCCACCAATCCGCACTGGGTCCGTTATCACCCACCAATCCGCGCTGGGTCCGTTATCATCCACCAATCCGCACTGGGTCCATTCTCACCCACCAATCCGCGCTGGGTCCGTTATCACCCACCAATCCGCACTGGGTCCGTTATCACCCACCAATCCGCGCTGTTAAGAAGTTGTTGGTTGTTTTACCACCCTTTTTATTTCGTAATATGTTATATAATGACTAGTGCGTCTCAATAAGCCGCATGCAAGTCCTGCCTTATCTTTTAAAGTACGTGACATGGTTCTAGGTGGTATATTCATTTCCCGAAATAAAATCGTTTGCTTTTGAACAGGACATTTTTTCAAATTCTTTCCTTCTCTGCTTTTATCCCCTTTTTCGTACAAACACTACGTGAATGGCCAGATCTTTTTCTTACAGAAACAGAGATTTCATTTTATTTTACCTACCAATAGCCCGGTACACAAACATTCCACTAATACCAAGCGGACGGCGACTTTCAAAATCGCATTTGGCTCCAAGCCTATTATTTTGTCAAATGCTATCATAGCCATTCGTTTCCCTTTATCACCCCACTCCATATGGAAAGAAAAGAAAAAGCAATGAATATTCATATAAGAATGAGAGATTCCCAATTTAAATGTAATACTTAATAAGTTGTTCTTTTGTTGTTCCTTAATCCCAATATCTAGCATGAATATTATTATTCAAAAATATCACAAACATATTATTAATAAAAATGTTATCTTATTTCAATAGTACTTAAACAATGATTTTTTCTATTACAGTGCTATAATGTAGCGACAAACATGTTTCAATATCGAGATGAACAATACCAGATTTTCCTTAGCTCGCCTGCCAATGACTCCAGCTTGTATACTTCGGTGAACCTTAACATATTGTCTGTAAGTTTTTAGCGACTACCTTTGCCCAAATGCTTTATCACTTGATGACTTGTACTATTATATTTTTAGTGTCACGACATAAAATTTGCTAGCAGCAAATAAAATCTAGACTGGAGCATACTTTTCTCATAGAATAAATGGTAAAATACTTACCACCACCCCTCTCACAGACATCATTAAAATTGAATGTGTAATGTGTTTAATTAATTTATCTTATTCATTGCTCTCGCAAAGAGAGTGCCAGCCATGAACCTAGTATTTTGCTTGGCGTTCTAGCAGTAGCTATAATCGTAAATTGATGTCTCTGAGTGCACTTAGTCAACAGTTGAAGTTAATTCAAACAGTTCAATAATATTATATAATCACATTGAGTTGCATAACATCTTTGTTCAGGGTGGATCTGCAAACAACGTAGTGCCAAATTTGGTTAGGCTGACATACGACATCCGACTGAATACCAGAGTCAAAGAAAGTGACTTCCAGCAGCAGGTTGGTATTCACAACACTAAAATAATGAATATGTAGCAGAGTTGCGGCCTTCATCAGATTGTTCACTCATTGTAATTATGGTTGTGGGCGGAATATCCAGATAATGACTAAAATTCACACAAATAACTAATTTAAACTTTACCATACGAAATTATCTCTTAGTTTAATCAAATAATCAAATCACAAATTAAGCAACTGGCTCGATTAAATTTTAATCAAAAGATGCAAAGATTGCGTCGGAAATATACGATTCGTTGCAACCGTTTTCTTTTATCCATGGATCGTGTTGTGCCCTGAAGAAGGGTAGGGGACTTCCGGGTCTGAGCGATCCTCCTCCCTTTTTGGGCACCGATTGCAGGTTAGCATCTCTCCAAGTCTCCGGCACACGCCCCAAAGAATACGAGCATTGGTGCTGGGATGCCATCAGGTCCACTGGCTTTCCGGACGTCGAGTGATTGCAATTCGGCACGAATCTCATGCTGCCTGATTTTAATATCAGGCATCGTTGTGCCACAATGAGGTAATGATGGTGGCTGTGCATTGCAATCGTCGATTCGGGAGTTAGCCGCAAAGAGTTTTGCAAGTAAATTTTCTTTAAAAATTCTTATAATTCGCAGGCTTTCTCCTGCGGCTTATAAGCTAGTGTTCCGTCTGGGCAGAAGTTCTTTTGCACGGCCTTAGCCAAACGCTAATAGCTAAGGGAGCCCGTAGGATGCGTTATGAGTTCGTGACCAATACGTGCAACGCGCTGGGCATCCGCTCTGATTTAAGCCTTCTTACCTTAGGCCTTGGAATCAATATGTAGGCTGCTTTTATCCTTAAGAGCGCGGCCTCTAATCCAAGCACGATATGCCGCTTTTTTACGAGAAGCAGCTTCAGCACAGTCGTGATTGAACCAGAGGTTACGTGTGCCCTTACTGATGAGATTGGAATGAGGAATATAGTACTCCATAACCATTACATTCTCCTCAGTAATAGCAACTGCGCTGGCTGATAGGTCCTTGTCACTGAAGCTGCGCTGCTTCCAAGAGACGGACGCAAAGTGGTCACGCATACCGCCCCAATCTGCCGACCCATAGTGCTAGATTCCGCGTTTTACCACTGTTAGACACGGGGATTGGCCTGTGGCGCTTTGGCAGATATCATCCAGTGATCCGAAGAGCCCAAGGGGCTCCTACCGCAACCTGATAGAGAGGATTGGTCGTGAGCAGAAGGTCCAGTAATAAAGGCACTTGACTTGAAATGTCTGGAATCCTGGTGGGCTGATCGACCAATTGCTTCATCTCACGCGTGAGAGCGAATGCGTGAGCAGAGATCCCTGCATGGTCAGTTTTTGAGGAACTTAACCAAAAATTGTGGTGAGCATTAAAGTCCCCCAAAAACACCAATTCTGCATCGGGAAATTGCTCCTGCGCGTCATCTGCTGCCCGACTAAGATGTTTAAAAAGTCGAGTTGTCCCAACAACAAGTGGTCTAAACAAATGTGCTCAAAGACGGCCGTCTCGATGGCAACTTTACAAAACTCCGCTAGAGGGCAACATCCGGTTTTGCCACTCTTTTCCAGTTGCAAAATTAGTAACAGACAGCCAACTAAAAATCGATGTTTAATGAATCAAAAGCAAAGCGACGTTCCGATGAACAGTCAAGTGGAACAGACAGTGGCGCCCTCATAATGCGCCGTCACGGCCGAACTGACAATCAACCGTCCTCAGGCGCAGATTATTATTTGAAAAAAAAAAGAATTTTCCTCATATACACACTGCGCCTTTATCCTGACAGTATTTGTTTAGAGACATACCATCACTACATGTGTCCCTTAGATCATACAAATGGTATAAACCGGATTTCAAAATCTTTCAAACAAGCCTGTCCTTTTGACCATGCTCACTAGTTTGGCCCGGACTACGCTGCCTCACTGCCATTCATAAAACACATTTCGTCTACCTTCGTCTTACTCCGTGTGAACTTCCACTTCATATTGTACATCCAAGGTTTCGGGATCAGAATACACACTTAAGATATCTGATGCAGCGGTAAGAGTATCAGAGTCGGTGGTTATGGTGTCTGGGTCTGTGTTCAAGTTATCTAGATTACTTTGGAACATTACATCAATGCATCAGATCATATACCATTACAATCCTCTGGCGCAGTCTCGGTCTGTGTTCTGTGGTAAAATTATCCAGAAAAAGATGGCATGATATCTGTCCCTTCCGATCTGTGCACTTTAGTAACCACAGTTGAAAACCTGATTTCAAAAATTTATTCAGACGTTGCGCTTATCTCGGAAAAGTCAATAGAGTGGTTGTGCGAAAGACCTATACTTATCCCAAAGATGGACCAAGCAGCGGTCATTAACGACATATTACTGAACTCCTTTGAAGGGCAACATATTGTTTATAACTCAATTGATACTATGGTAAACACTGAGAATGCAGTTGATTATCCAGTAGAGTTGTTAAATACTTTGAAGCCACCGGGTTTACCATACCAGAGAATTTTACTGCCTGTGGGTACACCTGTTATGTTATTAAGATATCCAAAGCCATCCAAACTTTGCAAAAGCACCAGGTTACAAGTCAAAGCTTTGCACCGGAACGTAGTAGAAACCACAATTTTGACCGGACCTGCTAAGGGAGAAACATTGTTTGTACCAAAATACCATTATACCAAATGATCTCCCCATTGAATTCAAAAGGCTCCAGTTTCCCCTGAAGGTCTTTTTCGCTATGACCATAAATATGTCGCACTTCAATAAATGTCAAAATCAGTTAGCAAATAGACCTACTGACCATACATAAAAAATATGCACGACAAATGGAGAAAGCTGCTTGTTTTCCTTCCACAATATTTTTTTTTTAATTTGCATTATAACAATATTGTGTTATGTGCGTTACATTTTTACGCTAGTTAAAACAATACATGCATGTATATAATGTATTTTACAGTTGGAGAATCTTATCTATTCTGCGGGAGACAATATCACAATCACGTACATTTCAAGGAATCCCCAAAGCCCAGCCACGATCGCCAACTCCAGTAACCCTTACTGGACAGCTATTTCGGACGCAGCCAAAGATATGTAAGTTATTTTGAAATTTATTTATTATCTATGAATGTATAAGTACGTATATTCATACTACAGATCCGTTTGAGGAAGTAAACTTCACCTTCCAGAAGACCACGGTACCCTACCCTTTGGTGTCGGTGAGAAAGGTTCCAGAGCTCCACGAGGTATGGGATAGGTAGGTAACACGCAAGTGCTACTCTGTCTGATATCGCAAGCCTCTTTGAAGGCTATGATGGCCGTCTACCATCATGCGCACCATGTACTTATTTGGTATTCTTTTTTTATAAACATAAAGTTTTAGTCTTTTTTAGAACCAATTAACAAAAGTTGTTTATATATCAGTGACCTAACAAACGAGGAGCTCTCAATAGCATAGGTGGTGAGGGCATTCTGCCTGCGATCGTGAAAGTAAGGCAACTTTCGCGATGGTCTTCATTGGATGGGTAATCAAAAACTTATTATCTCGAGCTCCTCCGTGCTTAGGAAGGCACGCTAAGCCGTTGCAAGGCTGCATCTGCAGTCGTTAGCACCCACCAATCCGCTCTGGGCCCGCGTGGTGGGTCACGGTCTAGTCTCCCTATTCCATCCATAGGGATGGCCTGTGACTTTTTGTTTGGTAACTATAAAAAGTCTTCTTTCAAAAATTTGTACACGATCGGATCCAACCACCGACTCTCGTAGTCTTTGTCGGGTTGATGTAAAAAAAAATATGTGTAGAATTCGATTTCTACACATATTTTTTTCAACCGATGTTGACCGACCAATATTTTTTTGAGGGTAGTAATGTAAGTAGGTAGTAAAGAACTTCCATTCATAGTCTTCAAGTCCAAAATAATCTTCTTGCGCGTCAGGTGGACAACATGGAAATGCATAGCCAAAGAAAGATCCTGCTGTTTCACGGACTGCCGGAATCTTCAGAGGAGGATGCTACTGCTGTTGCTGTGATGGCCGTTGCTACTCGTAGTCAGTTACAGATATGCCAAGAATGTCAGTCGCTGCCATCGAATGGGTCGATTCACTAACAATGATCGCCCACGACCCCGTGTAGTGAAGTTGTGTGACCTTGACATGCGGAACAAGATTTGGTTTGCCAAAACAAAATTACAAGAGTCAGGTATCACTTTCTCCGAGTTCCTGACAAAAGGCAGACACGACGCTTTTTTACATAAAGTATTTATATTGTGTATGACTAGTTCACAAAAAGATAGTGATGACTCGTTTCAGCTCTTGTCACGGGTAAGCGACTGCAGACATGCTAATTTTGTTAGTATGTCTTCCTTTTCTGACTGCATCGATGGTGAATTTTTTGATGTTTCTAAAAACTTAAACGTGTTCACATTAATACGCAAAGTGTTCCAGCTCATTTTATTGATATGCTAGCGTATCTCAACCACAAAAATCTTCATGCTGTTTTAGTCTCCGAATCCTGGCTTAAACCTTCTCGGCCGTCCTCATCCTATACTTTACCTGGTGTCCATTTGATACGTAATGATCGCACTGGCTCTCGAGGTGGTGGAATTGCTATTTACTTACGTACTCATATTCCCTTTACTATAATTAGCTCGTCCACACAACCTCCTCCAGCGAATGCTGGCGAAAATCCACTTATCGAGGTTCTCCTGTCACGTACCAAAGTCCTTCTGGAAGTCTATTACAGCCCCTTTTTAACTCAGATAAGCCTGACACTTTCAGGAAAATAGCCGTCCTATAAAATATATAGGATAATAAGTAGGCAAAGGTGAAAAATATTAATGATTGAATTTTGCATTTATATCAAGTATCAGTGTTTTTATTATTTACTATATTTTCTTTATAATAAAGATGAATTTCAAAATATGTAACACATACTTCCTTTTCACCAGCACTAAAATAGACACTACCACCTCTAGGGTGTCTTTAGATCTGTCCCAATTGTCAAGCGACTGCTCGTCGTGGAGGTGATAATACTCTCATACCCATACGTATGTCTCTGGGAGCTGAGCAACTTAAAACCACCCAAGAAGATAATAACATCACCATCCGAAAGCAAATGACTGATGCAATGGTCATAATAGGGGATGATATACAGACTATTGCAAAAGAAGAACTTTCTGTTATAACGACAGAATTATTGTCTACACCAATATCATCGACGAGCGTATCAAACCCATTCAAAGAGAAATCGATCAACTATCCGCTTCTATGTACAGTATATGTAGTAACGGCATCGATTGGGTTGCAGTATTTGTAGCTCCTTCTATCGACCAAAAGCTCTAAATCTTTAATTCTTTACTTATTCAACTATTCGATGTTCATGCTCCTCTTCGTCCTATACGTCTTAAACACCTTCCGGCTCCCTGGCTTACTGCGGAAATCAAGGCCTTAATGATCACACGTAACGTTGCCAAAGTGAAGTTCAGAAATGATCTGACGTTACCCGTTCGCGGTACAGAGAGCTACGGAATCGCTGTAGTCGAATGTGCAGAGATGCACAGCGTCGCCATATACATGACTCTGTTGCTAATGGTAACCCAGCGAAAGTATGGTCATTCCTGGGCTCAATTGGCATTGGCAAGTCTAGATCGAGTATACCTCTCAATCTGGATCCTGACTCCCTGAACCGCCACTTCACGCTCAATTCTCCTATCCCTCATAACGTTAAACTCCAATTCCTCTCACGTATTCCTAAATTGACATATCCTCCCTTTTCTTTTAGGCCTGTGTCTGAGAGTGAGATTGAAAAGAATAAACGTGCTGTTAATTCTACCGCTGAGGGCTTAGATGGTATAGGCCGACGTATGATTCTCCTTTGCATGCCCTCTTGCGTTTCCATTCTCTGCCATATATTTAACTTTTACACTAACCTACCACAGGAATTTTTCCGAGCTGCTGGCGCAAGGCTGTTATCCCTATTCCTAAATCTACAAATCCTACCCAACCTTCTCATTTCAGACCTATTTCTATTCTTCCTTTCCTGTCAAAAGTCTTGGAACGTCTTGTATTCCACCAGGTTAGCATATTTGCTAACTTTAATCATATCCTTTGTCCTTTCCAGTCTGGCTTTCGTCTGGGACACAGCACCGTTACTGCCTTAACTAAGATGTCTGATGATGTGCGAGAGGGAATGTCTAATCAACAACTTACAACCTTAGTTTTATTAGATTTCACTAACGCATTTAATTCTGTTGATTTCGATATCCTTCTGGCAATGTTAAAATCTGCTTTTGTATCCGATAACGTTGTCGAGTGGTTTCGGAGTTATTTAATCGGACGATCCCAATGTGTCCGTGTTGACTACAAATTGTCTGCCTGCTGTCAACTCACAGCCGGTGTACCCCAGGGCGGAGTCCTCTCCCCATTTCTTTTCTCCTTCTTTATTAATTTTTTGACCCCTCTCCTCTCTTGTCATTATCATTTATATGCTGACGACCTGCAGATTTATTCACAAGCCTCTATTGAAAACTTAGACGGAATGATTGCTAAGCTAAACGCTGACCTTGAGACCATTCACGAATGGAGTAGTGCCCATGGCTTGACAGTGAATCCTCAGAAGTCTCAGGCGATCATCCTTGGCGGATCGAAGCAGATAGCCAGGCTCAATTCTAGTATTATTCCTCCTCTTCTATTTTCCGATACCCCTTTGACCCTTTGTGCTAATGTCAAAAACTTGGGTGTAATTTTTGATGCGGTCTTGTCGTGGTCGCCTCACATTGCTGAAGTCAGCAGAAAGATGTTCGCTGCTGCCGGTTCACTGCGGAGATGGAGGAACTTGCTGCCTGTGGGGACCAAGATCGAACTTGCGCAGTCACTTCTTTTGCCTATTCTGGATTACGCTGATATCTGCACTATTGACCTTAATGAGGATCTGTTAAACAAGCTCGAGCATCTTCAGAACCTTTGCATTAGATTTATTTATGGATTGCGCAAGTTTGATCATGTGTCCGAATACAGGAATAAATTGAAGTGGCTACCCATCCGACTACGACTTGAAGAGCATGTTCTCACTCTTCTTTACAACGTTCTGTATGATCCTCGCTCTCCTCCCTACCTTAAGGAACGTTTCCGATTTCTAAGTACCGATCACGTGCTCAACTTTAGGTCCAGGACAGACAATTTACTTAGGACTCCATTTACTCGATCTGGATACTTTGGGGATTCATTCACTATCAAGGCTGCAATCTAATGGAATAACCTTCCATCAGAAGTCCGTCACTCGGCATCACTTGCAACTTTCAAGAACAAGCTTCACGAACATCTTTTATCAAGATCCTAGTTTGCAACATATAACTTATATGTGTAATGTATACGTATATATTATTCTATTAATATTATGTTATATTTATGTCGGTACTTATAAGCATAGTATATTCTTATTTATATATATATATATATATATATATATGTGTGTGTGTGTGTAGGTGTTATGTTTTGTATGTATTTTATATAATATATATATATATATATATATTGTTATTTCCATTTTATTTTGTTTTATATTTTGCTGGCACATTACTCTTCTATCTCTGTTAAACTATCCTTCGACTTAAAGGTTGTCTGGAATCGATCGCTTTCAGCGATAAGACCGCCTTTACCCACCGTAGTTGACTATCTGTTTTGTAAAACATTTAATTGTGTATGTGTGAGTAATAAAGTGTTTATCTATCTATCTATCTATCAGCGACTGTTATGCCAGATTTAAGGAACAATTAGAGCAAAAAGTTGAATTGATCAACAGGCTTAGAAAGGACAACGAATGCTTGCAGGCGGCTGTCAAAGACCTCTCTACGCGTGTAACAGTATCTGAAAAGCACTCCCAGGTCAACAATATTAAAGTTAAATGTGTTCCTTAACATTTCTCTAAAAATCTACTGACACTTGTTATGCAACTTGAAAACATTATAAAAAGTAACATCAAGGAGACTGACATTCATCAGTGCATCAGGATCGTGAAAATGAATAGTACGCGTCCTCACTCTATTGTTGTACAGTTTGCTTATCAATAATAAGGGACATCTTCTTGGCGGCCGCAATAAAATTCAATAAGTAGAATCCTTAAGATAAACTGCACTTTTCACATTTGAGTATAGCCGGAGACGCAAAACCAGTGTTTGTTGTTGAACATTATTTTGTCACCTATCAACAATTGCTGCAAAAAACCTTGGCTATAAATATGTATGGATCAAACAAGAAAAAATATTTATGAGGAAGACAGACACCTCCAATTTAATTTTTGTTAAGGATGAAACAACTACTAAATGTCCGTGTTTAGGGGCCTCCCTTCCTTAGTTGCCCCCGGGCCTCCACACCCCTAAATGGGGTTGGGGCTTGGAACTACCTTTTTTCAGTAAAAAGGGGTCCAGTACGAATTGGTGGGTGATACCGACTGTTGATGCAGCCCCCCCCCATCCCCCTCCCTCTGTGACGCCACAAATTAAAACAGCAGTTCCGATTTTAAGTAGTTCTGAAAAAAGCCACCAAAAAAATTAAAACCCATATGTACAGATAGAGTTGTAAATTTTAAAGTTTTTTGATATGGTTCAAAAGTATTGGATTTTGAATCTCCCACCCCTTGTCACCCAAGGTCACACTTCGTCGACCCCCTCCCTCCTTCCTTACCTGTGTCGTACTTTATAGATACGCCTAACCTTCACAAACGGATTTGAAATTTTCAGGGGCATACCGGTCCTCCCCGCGATACCATCCGGGTCCACCGACGCTCGGCATGTGCGGTTAGCTGGAGTGCCGGCGTTGGGTCTGTCGCCTCAGATAAATACGCCAGCCCTTTTGCACGCCGTCAACGAGTACCTCGGCGTAAACACATTCTTGAATGGAATTAACTTTTACGAAAAAGCTATATACAATTTGGCCAATATACCTGCCGGTCAGGCATCAACAAATCCCAGCGTGTACTTAACTGACACTACAAACTGATAAAGGACGGAAAATAGATTATAAGATTGTTGTGCGCTCTAATTAATTTTAGATGGTCTTCAAGTTTGTTTTTAATTTTATAACTGTGTTTCATTTACCACTCTAGGTATGTTTTTCAGTTTACGTACACTTATCTTAGAGCATTTTAGGTTTTTATGTTAAAAAGAGTTAAGTAAGCATTGTTATATAAAATACATTTGTTAGTTGTATTAAGAAAAAAATGCTGACATTAGACATATTATAGTCAACAGCAACTTAAATTAATTGGATTTGTAAAATATGAATAAAGTGTTTAACATTTTGACGGAATCACGTAATATTTTTACCCTTTCACCACACCCACACACTACATAAATTACCTGCTTTCAAAAGTATTTTCCTTTTTATCCGACGAACAAAACGGACTAGGAGGTTCAAGTCGACGCGTATATTAGTTTTTTTTATGTATGTAGTCCGATATTGATAACTCTTTTTTTTATTGGAAAGGGTATACCCCGAAATTGATCCCATTCCATATGAATTTGGAAAAAAAAACCAAACCTAAGGGTATGAAAACAGGTGATGATTGATTGTTCACTCACTGATTGTATTGTTTGATCACATAACTTTTTACAGCGTAGTCTGATTTTGATAATTCTTTCTTTATTGGAAAAGTTAGATACCCCGAAGTTGGTCCCATATGTATTTGAAAAAGAAATACAGATTTTGATGCTGAGTTGTATATTACAGAATGATGTCAGACTTTTACTGACTAAAAGCTTCATCTGAAGCAATCACCCCTGAAAAGGGGTTGATGCGGTATAAACGCCGATCTTTTCAAGAGCTTATATACTTTTTATAAAAACGTAACGATATTTTAATGTGGGTTTTTGTTGCTGTGAAATAATATTATATTATCTAAGAAATAACACAAAAACAGAACTTCGGGAAGCTTCGGTAATGTCAAAACTACAACTAAAAGTTTAAGAAACGAAAATAGTATACATTATGATATTGATTTTTTAAATTAAGTAATATTAGAAAAACTGCATATTTGAAAAAGAAATACAGATTTTGATGCTGAGTTGTATATTACAAAATGATAGCCACAAGAAATTATAAAATAAAAACTTATTAAAAAAAACAGAAAACCGTCGAAAAGTAAAAAATAATATACTGTTTTTTTATCTTTAGTCAAATCAATATTTGGAGTCGGTGCCCTACAATAGATCTCAGTTCCCATTTACTACTTGGGTAAGCCTGGCACTGGCACCGACTTCAAATATTAATTTGACTAAAGAAAAAACCGGCAAGTGTGTGTTGTGCCTCGCGCAGTGTAGGGTTCCGTAGTTGCCAGTAGTTACCACAATATCTTTGAGCAGGGGTCTTCATTTTCTATATTGTAAATTAGAAAAAACCAACTTATATCAATCTATGTATCTCAACTGTAATACCTAAATAAAAGTCAAACTGCGTCTCAAACTCAAAGTCAATTCGATATTATTATTTTTTTGAATACGAATGATAATCACCGATTTTTTTTTGTTCACTCCCAGGCGGGGTGAAATCCTCATGGATACCCTACAGCCGGCTGCAAGGTTATGTCAGACTTTTACTGACTAAAAGCTTCATCCGAAGCAATCACCCCTGAAAAGGGGTTGATGCGGTATAAACGCGGATCTTTTCAAGAGCTTATATACTTTTTATAAAAACGTAACGATATTTTAATGTGGGTTTTTGTTGCTGTGAAATAATATTATATTATCTAAGAAATAACACAAAAACAGAACTTCGGGAAGCTTCGGCAATGTCAAAACTACAACTGAAAGTTTAAGAAACGAAAATAGTATACATTATGATATTGATTTTTTAAATTAAGTAATATTAAAAAATCTGCATACATTAAAAATTGCATATATTATAAATTTAATAGAAAAGAAGACATTCTAAGCTTTCTAAAATATCACACTTATATAAGTGTCAGTCAGTCTCGTGCGCGCGCGCATACTTACTTTACTCTTTGGCGCGCGCCTAGCGAATAGTCACCGTGCGACAATGTCCGTAAATAATACGATTAAGTGTGCAAATTGCAATGTTGTGATATCGGAAGTGCTCTCATTTATTCGTAGTAGACATGACGTTATGGATAATGAAAGTTTAATCAGTATATGTGTTTCTGCATTTTCTGAGGAAGAGATCAACGAAGCCAAGAATTTGTTGTTTACGCCGGTAAAGACGAATCGCAAAATGATATCCAGAAGAAAAGACAAAAAACAGAAAGACTTGGAAGACGTGATAACGGTATTTAAAACAACTGATCCTGATCAGCTGCCTGTATTTGTTGTGTATCATTTACACAAATTACCGCCTATAAGTTTCGATCACGTAGATGTTACAAAATTGCTAAGGGATATACTGGTTTTACGGAATGAAATAGAGAGTATAAAGAAGGATTATGTGACCAAAGAATATCTAAATTCATCCGTGCAAAATTTACCAAATCCGTTATTTAATCTTAATGTGAATAAAATAAGGGGAGGAGGGTACGCAAACATGGACAGCGGGCCGTTCGGTTTGTCACCGTTATCTACGGAGGTTGAGGCACTGAGCGACACAGTGTCACACAGTGGCGGCGAAAGCGCACCGAAATATCGCTCTCTCGTTCGCACCAGCACGTGTGACCTAGCTGTGGAAACAGGCGATACGACTGCACCTGTCAACACAACTGTGTTGGAAAACAAAGTTAAATCAGCTGATTGTTCACCAGTAAAGCAATTACCAAAAATATCAATGGCCGCAGTACTAAAACAAGGCGAATGGCCAAAAGTGAAAAATAAGGCTGATGATGATTGGACACTGGTTCAAAGAATAAGGTACAAGAATCGCTTGGACGGAAAAACGGGAACAGCTATCACTTCCAGTACGGGAAATTTTAAAGCGGCGGATACAAAAATACCGCTTTTTATATCAAATGTAAATAAAGATACTACTAAGAAAGACATTTGCAATTATATTCTTAAAATGACAAATGAAACAGTTCAACTCGAGAAAATTAATATGAAATCAGAAAGGCCCTACAATGCTTTTAAATTGTTTGTGACAAAACATAAAATTAGTGCGTTCTTAGATGACAAGCTGTGGCCGGAAGGCATACGTTTTCGTCGCTTCGTTTATTTTAAAACGAATAAAGAAAGGGAAAATTCCCAGGTAAGAAGTGAAGAAAATCCTAACACTAATGGATAATAGCTACACGAATGTAACTTTTTCATCCTTCAATTGCAAAAACGTTGTTCGTTCTTTGGACTGCGTAAGGAAGATATGTGGTGTTTCTGACGTTGTCGCTTTGCAGGAGACTTGGCTTCTACCCCACGACGTGCCGTACCTTGGAAGCATCGATAAGGACTTTGCGTACACGGGAAAATCTGCCGTTGATATTTCTGCAGGCGTTCTCAAAGGGAGACCATACGGCGGTGTTGCGTTATTGTGGAGAAAATCGGTGTTTCGTTCGGTTTCTGTTATCTCTTGCCACAGCGATCGTGTAACGTGTGTGAAGATAGAACAAGAGAATCGCTCATTGTTAATTTTTAACGTGTATATGCCTACTGACAGTGCAGATAATCTCATGGAATATACGGAGTGTCTAAGTGAAATTATCTCAATAATTGAGAGCAGTGGTGTAGAAAGCGTTTTTATATTAGGGGATTTCAATACTCATCCTGATACCAGATTTGCGAGTGAGTTACTTACAGTTTGTACTGAACAGTTATGGTGTTGGGTTGATAAAGAACTGTTACCGGAGGATACATATACGTTTACAAGTTCGGCTAATGGTTCTCGTAGATGGTTAGATCACTGTGTAGTGACTAGTGCGGCTAGACCCGTAGTTGTCAATGCCGCTGTGCTGTATGACGTTTACTGGTCTGATCATATGCCTTTGTTACTGGAGTGCAATATTAATTTAATAAAACCTAGGGCTATGCCTCCATCTGTTAGCGGTAGTAATAGGGTGTTGTGGGGTGATAGAAACTCCCAACAAATGCAACAATATTTTGATTATTGTAACTTAAACTTGCGTAAAATTGATTTTCCTTCCGAATTTTGTAATTGTGCTGACAGTATGTGTAAGAAAACGGAACACTTTTTATTGTTAGACTCTATGTATAGAGATATTGTATGCGTTCTTAAAGAAGCCTCGGAAAAATCATATGTTAATAAGAAAAACAATTGTAAACGTAGGAAATATATCCCAGGTTGGAACAAGTACGTTCGCGATGCTCACTGTGAGGCGCGTTTACATTACAAGAACTGGATATTATATGGCAAACCGTGTTCTGGCTATATATATGACAAAATGTGTACGTCTAGAAGTTACTTTAAATATAAATTAAAGCTTTTACAGGATAAGCAACAGCAATTAAAAATGGATAACATAGCTCAGTGCCACTCAGATAAAAATTTTAGTAAATTCTGGAAAACTACAAAATCACTCGGCTGTAAATCGGGTCTACCAGTGAGCGTGGCGGGTGTGCATGGGTCAGCGGACATTGCCAATGCATTCAGTAGCCATTTTAAGATTGAGCCTTCTGTAATTAAAGAATTAGAATTAATAAACTACCAGCCTAAGTGTGCCGTATCAGCGCCAATTACATTTTCCGCTAAGAAAGTTGCGAGTGTAATAAAAGAAATGACGAGAGGAAAGTCTCCCGGTTTTGATTGTCTGACTATTGAACACCTAAAGTATGCTGGAGTTCATTTGCCGCGTGTACTTGCAATGTTTTATACATTATGTTTGAGTCATAGTTATTTACCGGCAGATCTCATTAGAACAGTTGTAGTACCTATCATAAAAACCAAATCAGGGGATATTTCAGATATTTCTAATTATAGACCAATATCGCTTGCTACAATTATCGCGAAAGTTCTGGACGGTCTATTGGACAATATATTGGCTGATAACATAGAGTTGCATGATAACCAATTTGGTTTTAGGCCCGGTTTATCAACCGAAAGTGCTGTGCTATGTCTTAAACAAACTGTTAATTATTATACGACCAGAAAAACACCAGTAATTGCTTGTTTTTTGGATCTGTCTAGGGCTTTTGACCTTGTAAATTACGATAAGTTATGGCAGAAGCTTTACTGTGAGACTAAGGTACCTAAAGAAGTTTTATGTTTGTTTAAATTTTGGTACAGTAACCAGATGAATACTGTAAAATGGGCAGGAACTTATTCCGATATGTATGGGCTACGTTGTGGAGTGAGGCAAGGGGGGTTGAGCTCTCCTCGCTTGTTCAATCTTTATGTGAACCAGCTGATAGGTGAGCTCAACA